TGTTTAAGAGTTTCAAAAGGAAGTGACAGCAAGACACAGTAAGTCTGTCACAGCACTGTACTACCCACAGGAGTGAAGCAGAACAGAAGAGCCAAAACCGACTGCTGCTCCATGATTACTCTCTGGCATATTACAACCTTATCTGCTTTTATCTGTGAAGATGTCATTATCTTTTCGCTGCTGCTACAAGATCTAGTAACATGAACATACATCTGCAGTATCAAAGTTGTTCGAATAGCAGTTTTTAAAATAATGATTAATGAAAGCTAATGTGAGAGTGCTGGGTATGTCTGACCCCTTTTGGTCAAAGCTGTGAAATACAGGTGGAGACTTTACATGTTTGTTTGCTTGACTGACATGTTATAGCTATTGGAACCAAACTAAAAGTATGCTTGCTTGACTGGGAGATGTGGATGAGAAAGGAAACACATTCAATTGAAATCTTTCAAATAAACTCCAGTGTGTTAAACAGAAGTAAACGGTTTATATGGCCAGCTTCTTTACAGTCAGTTTTAACTCCTTGTTTTTTTATGTTTCATACTTCTCCTACATCCTCTCAACTCCACAGCTGACAGCTGTAACTGGACCCGTAGAAAGCCACAATAACAGTCTTTGTGGCACACTGTCAAGCTCGTCACATGGCACGGCAGGAATGAATAATGTGAATGACAAGTATCTCATCATTTATCAGTTACATTACTGCTATTCTAAATATACTCCTGACAGTTCAAAATTGAAAGATACTGTGTTCTCACGTGTAAGCTGTACAGTACTATGGCCATTTTCATAACAATTATTCCCCATGCACATGCAATTATATCAAATGCACTGGGGTATATCTTACTAATTGTTGATTCTTCTGACCCCAATTTATTCTAAGTTGCTTTATCTTAATTTTCTGCTTGGTTTCATTTTGTTGATTTGTATAGAAATAGTCAATGCGAAGATCATTATCAAAAATGACTTAGTGGAGTTTCTGGAGTGGGTTTACTTGTGATTTTCTAATTACCATGCAGAGCCAAAGGACAGGCAGGACTCTGACCAAGGTTACAAGTGCAATGAGAAGGGCAGTAGTGTACACACATCATCACACCCAGACAGAAGGCAAATATATTCACCTTTCTGACTGAGGCTGTGTGAGCTGAGGCCTAAATGGCACTCTGAGTAGATGACTATTGTTAAGATGCGAGTGTGTCTGTGCTTCTTGCATGCATGTTTAGTATACTGGAAAGGGGAGGTGAATGATGGCCACTTTTCTGACTAAAAATGGCTCTTATGTAATCATGATGATGATTTTTTACCAACATAATTTAGCATTAAGCTGTGGAGAAACCTTGGAAGTGTTATAATTCATTGGCAGACTAAGTCATTATGCTTTTAGAGCTCTGGCAAAAATAACATAAAAAAATAATAAATGAACCAAAAATTTAGATATAATGGCACTTTTCTGAAATCACAAAGAAAGCATTCACCTGGCTATAGAGAATGTGAGGTTGTCATCAGGCAGTGTTGCATTCTGGGGTAAATGCACTATGTTTAGAGCCTCACACTCACAATCAATCATAGATATATACACTATATACATCTATAAGTTACTTAAATATATAAATACTATCCCATACAGCTAGATAAAATAACAGATGCTTCAGCTACGTCCAAGTCAATTTTAGTATTCACTGGGAGCACAGACAGGACAGCCCTCATTCACTGATGATAAACATAGATTGTAATTAGAGTTCAAAATGATTTGTATGGTTTTCACTTCTGCCACATCTACAGTGTTGGTGTGGTTAAGTTTAGCTAATTGAAACTACTTGGTTAAATCTAACAAAAAAGATTCTCTATCTTTTGCCACCTTCTGACTATATCTCACTGTCTTTTGCAGTAGATGGAGTTAGAGATGAACTTACATGCCCTTCTTAGGTAATGTCTGTAAAAAACTTCAGTGATAGTTACATAAATAGTACTGTAAGTTTGCCATTATTATTAAGGGAAACCATTGCTGTCTGTTAGTGGGAAGCAGGGTTTATAAAACCTTTCCCAGAACCCCTTGAGGTTGTGTACATAGAGGCCTGGCTACATGAGGGTAAAGGTGGAGTGTAAAAAGCTGTTTTACTGTATAAATGTCAGACAAAACTGAAGTTGCTCCAAACAGTGTGATACAGGAGGTTATGTATATCAAAATTAGTGTTGTCGATTGATCAAAATATCCAATCACAATTAATCGCATCATTGCTCACAGGCGACCTGCGATTAATCGCATATTGATCACACTTTTTTATCGGTTTCAATGTACCTTAAAGAGACCCAGAGGTAACTGTGATTACTCAGAGAAGTCAGTAGTCGAGGTAACTGTGATTACTGAGAGAAGTCAGTAGTTTCAGGTGAGTGCAACCATGTTTGTCTGTTCCAATGCCTTGTTCACATTAGCTTTCTTGTCTTCATACAAGTTGTGTATCTTGGTTAGAGTGGTGGCGCTCAAAGGCAATTACTGCATGCAGTCTTTGGATGAGATGTGAATTATTCCAAACAGACCCTCGTCCTCTACAATATTAATCGGCCTGTAAGCTATAGCCACCCACTTAGCTATTGCTGTTGATAGTTTGCTGCTTAGAGTTGTCCAGGCGTCTCCGCTGCAAACTCTCCAGCTGGTCTGCCTTTTTGCAAGGGGGGAGGGCTCTCTGCATCAGCTGTGTGCTTGGCCAAGTGCTATTTGAGACTCGACGTACTCTGGTAGTAACTCAATTCATATTGACAGTAAATGCAAATAACTTTACTCTTGTCGAGAGAACCGCTGTGCAGGGCTTTGACGCTGAACTTGCATTCAAAAGACCCTTTTCTTTATCCATTTCTGCTCACTTCTGCTGCTGCATTGCTTCCTGATTTCCCAAACTACAGGGTGGGCTGAGGGCCATAATCACAGAATGTGCATGCATTAATCACGCATAAAACATTTTTGTGGCATTAAAAGGAATTAGAATTAACTTGTTATTATTGTGTTAACTTTGACAGTCTCAATCCAAATGTTCACAATTCAGTTTACTCTACCTGTATGTTGGTGAGGAGAGTCTCTATTGACGACAAGCCATCTGGAAACAGAAATGGCGAGGGGAAGCCAGGAGGCAGAGTCTGTCCAGCCAGCGACAACCTTTCATAGCTATCTCTTGCTGTTGGGGTGCACATTGTGTTGTCCTCTGCAAAAACAATAACAATAAAACTGATTAATCTTTCATAAAAAGTAAGTACTATTTGTGCAACTTGAAAACAAGAGAAGTGATAATGTTAATAGTTTTTGGTCCTGCTGACACTGTTGACCCCGACTTGAACCGAAGAGCAGCAGTGAGCGGGGCTGTATTGATCTCCAGCAGCCAATCCCAGCTCTCCTCTCTTCTCAGAAATATTATGGACTGGTCCCTTTGAGATTCCTTTGTATTGCTTTTTCTCAAGCACAAGACCTAAGTCTGGGGTTAAACAATATCAACTCAGACATAAATCCAGCTCTCCTATTTAAGAGATGTCATGTGGACTCTAGAATCAGAAGCAGGCCCACAGTGTGACCCCAGAGGCTTGGGCTTCCTTTGTGAATGCATGCACAGGTTCCTGTCAAACCTAAGATGACATCATTCTCCATTCATCAACGGCAGAGGGGTAGGGCCCTGCCATCTGCTGTCCAGCCTCTCCACCGGGCCTCAGAGGAGGGAAAGACGAGCGGGCGAGGGAGGGAGAGAAAGCAGGAGGCAGACCGGCAGACACAGATACAGCCTGGTCAAACTAAAACAGTATGTCAGACACTGGCGTTTGTTGCCCCATCAGATCTGACACATGTTTTTGTCCAGTGAGCTTTTATCAAGCCAGCAATTTGTAAGTGCTACCATCTTGCAGAGAGACAGTTTATTAAACACATCCAGCCTTCACAGGAAGTCTGCACTATCAGCCGTTTAATTGTTAATTTAACAAAAGGGGGAAATTTTTTTATTTGTAATGTGGAACCCTGGCTGTGTTGTGCACAGCACCTCTCTGCTCTCATCCAGTATTCATATCTGTTTATGTGGCAGGCTGAATCTTGTACAAACAGCGAGCGGAGCTGAACAGCCCTGCCTCTCCCTCCCATCAATATTCACCAACGCCAGCCAAGTGCTGGGAACAGCTGGTCTTACATTAATTAGTTTAAAGTATTTATTTCACCCATCCTCAGAGCAGATTGAGCAAAAACATTGGAGATTATTTCAAGCATCTGCAAATGCCCTGGAAACATCTCTGCGCCAAAAGTCGAGTGTTAGGATTCACAGTTTAGGTTTGTAATTTGGAGAACTTTTTTTCTGAGAGGGGAAGATGTGAAATATGCACCACTGGTCCGTGGAGAGAGTAAACAACCTTTCTCCTTTTTCAGATGGAGTTCACTCCTGTTGATTAATTAGAATGGATGGTTGCCTAATGGATTAAAATTTGTTTATAATTTGACTTCATAAAAATAATGAATTGCCTACTTTTAAGAAGCCACTCCTGTGGTAATTTGTTTTGTTTGGTGCAGACCTGTCTGCATTTTCATGTGGGCGTCTGGGTGGAGACATAAAATGCACTCTCCTTATACAGTGGCACAACATGAAAGTCCCATTTTATCTCAATAAAATAACTAATCAAAGATCAAAAGCATTACAGTTGATGCCAGCTCAGGTTGATATAGATGTATTGCATGCATTATGTGCATGCATCACCCACCTCCAATAAAATCACCATAACAACTAGAGATGTTAGTAGACCTCGGGGAAAGGTCTGCTGTTGTAGCTTTGTAATTGATTTGTACTGTAGGCACTTTGTCCCTTATTTAGTGTTGGCATTAATCATAAATCATTGCTTTAACAAACTCCGGCTTCCCACTCAGCAGGTCTCCCCTCCGACACAATGTTGGATCACACGGAATATTTGATGGCTTTGTTGCAGGGGAAACAACCTGTCATGCTCTGGGAAAAGCAAACAGCGTGTTTTGTTCGACAGACTCCAACTACCGTACAGCACCTCTTGTCAGATAACATTTCCCCCAGGAGCGATGCATAAATAACAGCCCCCCCCCCTGCAAAAAAAAGCTGAT